ATCCCGGCTAAACAGGCCATTTCATCACGTTTCGTTTCCTTGTGCCTCGTTACGTCCTCCCTTTTCTCTTACTATCTTATTCTTTCACGCCCGTTTGTATCCTTATCCTCTCTCTAACTTTCCACCGTATACTCCTCTTACTGTTTTCCTACGGGCCTACATTCTCCAACACACCGCGTAAGTACTTTACTCAGGACGCGTGTTTTTATCCGTAGGTCGCTTTGGAAGCTCGTTTCAGGACGTTCGAGATCGACGTGGGAAAAGTTTCGCTCGGTATTCGAGAAGCAATTAAACACGTTCAACCGAGAATACTCGAGAAGTGAAAATCGTCGAATTGGATGCTAAGTTAAATCTTGGCAATTATCATGCGCGTACGTTTTGTCGCGAAGTCGAAGGTGACGATAAGAGGGGAACCTGGATAGCGTTCGAATCGATGCTCCGATTGAAAAGAGATTCAAAGTTAGGACGAAGAAAGCTTACATAGAAAATAGCGTTTCTTTGAATGGTCGCAGCATCGCGGTACGATGTTTAATCTGAAAACGAAGAAAACGTTACGTACGGTTTTTATAACAATAAGCGGTATTATCATTGAAAATACGAAGCGAGATAAAGTAAGTCGGTTCCACACTCTGTTATCAGGCTCGTTCTCCGATCGTTTCACCTATTGCGAACGTACTTTCGCGTTACGAAAATATTGACCTACATCAACTTAGCACCTGTAAAACCATTCCGCGTACCAGTCGAGATGTTAACGCTACCAGGTAAAATCTCGCGTTCCTTTGGCGGATCATCGAACCCAATGAACCGAATGATTTTACGCGAGGAAAAATCAATTTGTTCAACCCTTGAAAGCTCAACGAAGAATAAAAAAAAATGTCCTAATTCTTTTTCACAAAGTAACTGGTACAAGCCTCCAGTAATCTACTTTTGTGTTAGAAAATAAGTTGTTACAAACAAATGAACTAGATATCGTTTTTACTTATTCTCTTTTCATTTAATTGAACTTTCCAGGGACTGACAAGAGGAAAGATGGTAATAATGGAAGAAGATGGAAGGATTTACTCACTCGTTGCGTGAGACGTCTCGCAGAGAAGGACGACGACGAGTAATCCACCCACGAGGAGCGTAGCCAGGAAGAGAGATCCCGAGCTGTAGCCCATCACGGCATCACTACTGATGTTCTAACCTTCGCAGTAATCCTCACCGAAGCACCGTGATTTGATCACGAACGACTGGTCCTTTTTCCAGTTTAACTCTCGAGTATGACACTGTCACTTGGTAAACACCCGGCTGTCACCCGTGGCGGTGGATCCACTCGAGTTGCGACCACGTCGACGTACAGTCCAGCATCGGCGGAGCAACGCTGTTCTTCTCTCACGAGAATCCCAGAATTTACTACGCGTCACATGGCGTCGTCAACTTTTCACGTGCATCGTATCTCAGCTATGTTTTCGCTTGTTTCTCCCTCCTTGTACCACCGAACTTTAACTCGGACGTTTAACCGATTCGTCACTTTGTCACTCGATCGTGCTTCATCGGAGTCTCGTCGTCGTATTAATCCCCGAATACTGACGATCTCCACTCGTCACATTCACGATCATCGTTTTACGCGAATTCTGTAAATCCGTGGAAAAGATACTTTACAGATTCGATATCGATTCACAGGTAACCTGGTCGCTCGTTAAAAAGAATCACGACTCCCTCTCCTCATTCTCTCCCCCCGTTCTTTCTTCCCGATTCCCCGGTGAACTCCACCAAAAATCCACTTCCCTATCTTTCCGTTCGCAATTAGAATTCAATATGAATTCCTATTCAGCCCGATGAAAGCGCGAATCGTTCAGGTTTCTTTGTACGCGAGTTCTTTACGAGCTCCAAAGCAGCTGATGCAATTTCACTGAATGCATAGTGCCCGGCCAATTATCGGAGTTTAGGGGACCGACCGGTTGAATCTCCTCGGGCGGAACGTCGGCGAAGCGGACTTGTTAAACTTCGACACTAAAGCGCCCGTTGTAGGTGATGTAACTTAACGGCTAACTCAAGACGGCGGCCAAGGGGGAGGAGGTTCTGGATACGATAGAGAGGGGCTCGATCATCCGATGCTGAGTTTATTCGCGAAAGCTCACACGTCTAACGATTCGTTCCTGCCGTTCCTGCCAACTTTATGGGACTTTGCGATCTCTGTTCGAGGAAAGTTACCCCAGCCAACGGAACATCCCGAGTACTATCAAACGTCTCTACTCTCGCTGGATCCCGCTCGATTCCAAATAATTCTCACCGCGAGCAGCGATAGAGATTCGCGACAATATTGTCGCGATGCACGCGCTGGAAAATAATATCGAACCGTAGAGAATCTAATGGAGTGGTAGTCACTTAACGTTTGCTCACGGGATCGATGATTTACGTAGGATTCGAGACGGTGAAATAACGTCGTCGTTTCGAAGCGGAATCAGCCGTTTCGTCGCGAACGATTCGTACAAATCACGTATTTAGGCCGTGACACAAATCATCCGCGCGCGTTTCATGAAAACGTATGGCCTTTTAAATTGATCGCAACTGTGGATCGTTCGTATCCCCCCTCCTCTTTCGCCAACTGTTCGAGAGTACGCCACGTTCCAAGAGTCTCGGTTGTTAATGAAAAATTTCTCGACGCCGGAGCGCGTCCTCGAGCGTTTTTCGTCGGCGCGGAGGCCAATTTAAAGTTCGCGAGTCGATAAATCGACGCGGTTTACTCGTTATTCTCACTTGGTCGACACACCAGGTTCGTTGGTACACGGATACGTGTGAGAAAATAAAAAGAGAAACATCGGTGCGGAGTGTTGCAAGATTTGTATCGTCGAATGGGAACAATGCTAGGAGAGCCACGATGAAACTAAAGAAAGTAGATCGCGGAACGCATTTGCGGAAGCCGTATATCTTGCTATCGGTTTATTCCCACCTCTAATCATCGGTCCGCAAGCTGGCAACACAAAATCCCTTGTGCATATGCATCGAGCATTCGCTTTGTCCTGAATGCTTTACACACACACACACACACACACACATCCGTGAACCGCTTCTGCCGCACGGATTGTTCGATTTTCGCCGAAGAAAGAGTCCATTAACTTTTCGTTTGGGGAAATAGTTGGTGCACGAAAAATAGTCGTTCCCCTGGTGCCAGTTCCCGTCACGATTTTCCCGAGATGCTTTGCCTCGATTATTCCTTGGTAAAACCATTAACATCGATGAAAGAAAAGAGAAAGAGGAGAAGAAACGAGCGCGTACGTGTATATATACAGGAACGCGGATCGATAGCACGTGTCGTGAGCTTTGAAAAAATCATGTCTCGCGTGGAGGAATTTATAAAAAGGTGAAAATAAGCAAACGTACGAGAGCGCACGCGAGGATGAAACGACGAAAGGAAGCGGCGATAAATATAAAATGGACTAAGGTAGTCGAGGCACGTGGTACACCGTGCCACGGTGTTAGATATTAAATAAACGTCCACTCGGTGACAAAGGAAAACGATGATCATTTCCATTAAATGCCAGATGCCTGTCGCGAGTACAGGTACTCGGAACAAAAGCGCAGGCCGCTAAAGGGCCCCGACTTTTGATGGCTTCGAGAGTTCAAATATCATCACGCCCACGCACACACGTGCCCGGCAAAGTCGATCGACGAGCTCTTTCGTTGTCACCGGCAAAAGCGGAATTCCTGAAAACGGCGGATGGAGAGAAAAAAAAGAAGAGCGGCAGAGAGAGAGAGAGAGAGAGAGAGCGAGAGAGGAAGAAAGAGGGCAGTGCTTTGTTGCTCGAAAAAGACTAGCACGCCAGCGGTTTCAGCTGCACGTTCACTCTTTTACAGCCGTCCGCTTTCCAGACACATTCGTGACCCTTTTCTCCCTTCTAACTTCTTTCAGAAACATCGTTGCACTCGCTCCGTTCCCGCTGGTCACGAGCCCCCGCTACTCGCGGAATGCGTTGTCCCTAAACGTTCTACTCCCCGCTTTGACATATAAAAATAACAGAAAAAAAGAGAAGAAAGAAGAAAAATCAAAACGTCCAGCGTCGAACGACGTACCGGAACGAGACTGTTTTCGCTTATCTATTCCCCCTTGTGCTTGCAACCCTCGACAGACAGAAGGTGGAATCCGCAAAAAGGGAGGAAGAGGAACTTTTGTCGTTGATATCCGCGAGAACGTTAAACCGATCCACTGGACCGTCGATCGAGGATTAACGTGTGAGTGTGCAGGGTGCGATGGTGGTTTTCGCGTGCACGAGCTTGGTTCGCGACGACGACTGGAGCAGATGGAAAAGCTCGACGCGGTACGCGATACGAACACGCCTCGAGTGTACTCTCGGCTCTGGCTCTGCTTTCGGAACTGAGTCGAGAGAGAGAGCATCGTTGTGGAGTTTCGAGGGATTCAGAGCTGTGCTACCCCTACCCCCTACCACCGTACCGACCCCTGTCTCTCGGCAACCCGCGTGCTCCAGCACTCGTAGTTTTCCCCTGAGCCGGTATCCCCACCCAAGCCACAAAGATGTCCCCCACTATCGAAAGCATCGCCACCCCAGCCGCTGGTCGGCTGCGCGCTCGCGCCTCTACGCGCGCAGTCGAATCCAGTCGAATTCAGGCACGCGCGTCACCACCAACTCTCCGGATCTCCATCGGACCACATGCGACCTCGAAAATACACCTCGTTCTCTTTCCCTCCCCTTTTCTTTTTTTCTTCCCTCCCGCTTTTCCTTCTCCGTCGCGTTACGCTATGCATCACGGGTAAAGCTCGGACGGGGAGAGGGTGGTGGTGGTGGTGGTGGTGGTGCTCGATGCAACGTTCCTCGAGAAACACATTCCCTCCCGCACTGATCGAACGTGCGCGAGATTACCGGAGGATCTGGGAACACTTTTCTCGGGGAACACTTTGACAATGACAACTGTTGTCGCTGTGTTTCATAGGTGGTGCACAGAGGGAGGTTACTACAGCCGTGTATAATTACGTTGACAATGCTCTCCCGACGTAATATTGTCATGGTAATACCTAGGGAATGTTTAAAGTGGCGCCGGGGACGAAGTGTTAGGGTGGAAAGTATTTGCCGTAGCCTGTGTGGTACACCTGACCACTTAGGGGTTTTCGAGAGATTCTTTTCTCGTTAAAAATGCACGTCGGTTTGAAAAACAGAAGAAAAAGAAGAGAACACGTGTTCCACGTAAGGTAGATTTATGAAAAGGGGCATCTTCGTTCTTTCAACGATTACGTTGAATAATTTTCAACGACAAAGAGGATAATTAGGTGCTCCGTTTATGATAAGCCGTGCCCTGTAGAACGTTTTGAGAACGAGGTAAGTACCTGAGGAGAATGTGAACAGGAAGACAGCGAGAGGCGGTGTAAGGGGAGAAGAGACGCACCCTTGTAATTATTTCGAAAAACATAAAGCGCGTACGCGTAGGGATGCACGCCGCGTTATAACAGCGGAGTAATTAAATCTTCATAAACTTCTCAACTAGTTATTCGAAGCGAAGAATGGAGCAGCCCGGGAGGGGGATCATTTGAAATTAAGCTTCAACGATGGATCGAAGGGAAGAGACGGAGGACAGAGACGAATGCTCCGTTAAAAAATTACACGGGATTTTCTTTTGCGAACGGACAGATCGCAAAATAAGTTCGAGACAGGGGCAACCTTTTTGTTACGCGATCGGGAAACGAACCACCGGAAAGGACTTAACTCCAATCACGTCTGTGGAAAAACTCCGCGGCGTGCCTCTGGAGAACTATTTCCTATTTTACGGTATCCACGGGGTGCTATAAACAAGCCTTCGCCCAAGAATGAAAGGTATGAAAAGGGAACCGAATGCGAAGCCAGAAGAAGTCCCCGCGATAAAAAAAAACTTTTTGCTTAAAGTGTATGTCTCCGGCCATTCTCCCGTGATTCCCAACATTCACGATCGTTCTGAAAAGGGCGATACGTAACGATACAAAACCGCAGACGAGGCCTTCAAAGATGCGGCATAAACTTGGGGATTGTGTGCGCGCCTCCTGCTATCCCTCTGAATCATTCGTAGAAATCGCGCGGCCCATTGATACGTGCCGCTCGTTGTAGAAAATGAAACTGCCTGTTCCGCTGTCTTTATAATAGTATTTTTATAATATCGGATAAATTCCTGGCTCGTCGTATAAATACTCCGT